CTCAGGAGCGCGAAGAAACGTCCACCCGCCGCCCGGTCCTAATTGCCGCTCACGTATGTTTGCAAGAGTCAGGCCGAGCCGGGCACCGGGAACAAGGCCCAGGCGGCGAACACCGCGCTCACGCCCTTGTTGGAGAGAAGCGCGCGCTCCAAGTGCCCGGCCCTGTGGGGGGCAGCGGACGCCACCGGAACGCGCTCGACCGTCTCCTTGGAAAACCTAGCTCCAAGCGGGGCCGAAAATGCCGGGGCGCACCTCGGCTCCTGCAGCGTGCGAAATTAGAAAGGAAACAGTTAATTACTGTCTCCTTGTCCTAACTTTTCTCTGGTCCTTTCAGTTACTTTGTCTAACCCCATATTCTGAGTCAGCCCTGGGAGCTCTTCAACCAGAGCGAGAATCCAAAATCAAACACTCGCCTTCTGCCAGCCGGGCTTCTCCCAGTGCACCTTGCAACCTTAAAGGTTGCCTCTCCGCAACAAGCTCGGAAGGCGCACCGGTGCTGGGAAAGACAGCTGAAGCGTGGCGGGGTCCCTCGGATCCGAAAAAGCACAGTGGTTTCGCAACGAGCTGGGATTTCCCGAGCTGCGTTCAGCGGCGCCCCAAGGCAGTCGGGCAGGCTGAGCCAGAGCCGGCGCCCCGGACGCGGGTTCCGCGCGCGCACGCCCGCCCCCGCCAGTTTACAAAGCAAACTTTCCCCAGAGTAGCTTCTACATGGAACGGCGCGCGAAGTACGCCAATCAACACCTAATCACACCCAAACTGTAGAAACACGGATCGATCAGATAATTTCAAATATTATAATTGGCTTTAATTAAACACACTGCGTTCTAATTAACTCTGAAATTTTAGCATGCTTTGGGACACTGGTGTCTGATTTGATATTGTCAGTCCAGATGTCCTAATAAAATTCAATCCTCCACTCAAGACTTCAATATTCACTAAGAACAAAATGCAAATTAAATGCAAAACCTAAAGTATCGCCAGAGGTATAATCAAGAAAGGTGTCTCAAAACTTCTCACTTTTTATTACGCAGTAGTTTAAAAATGCAGATTACACCCTAACAAGACCTCTCCGGTACACCATAAATCTTAACTCTTTCCTGGACGGGGATGGAGTGCCCTGCCACTGGCTTAAAGGTAAAGGAGGGGGAGAGCCAGATCCCATGATGGAACTGAACAACCTCCTGTGGAAGAAAACGGAGCGCAAAAGTTTGCCAGTGAGATTCTGGTTTGAAACACGGGTTTGCCAACCCGGGCAAAGGAGTTGGGGTGGTAGAGAGCCAAGGGGTGGAGGTGAACGGGATGGCACGGGACTGACGCCCTCCTCTGCCGCCACCTTCGCCCACTCCTTGGCCACACCTTAAAGGAGCCTGTACACATCCCTTCTCCTGCGCAAAGGTGGGGAGGTGGGTGACCGCGGCCGGGCCCGGTCAGTCCGCTCGCGTAATTATCTCAGTGCCGGGACCGGGAGGACGAGGCTGGGAGGGAAGGAAGAGCACACTGCCCTTGGACAGAAATGTGTCAAGCCCTCCTCCTTTCCCTCTTGCACAAATCCTTTCGCCACATTCTCCCGAATTCTAAGGGATCCGAGCCAGCGGACGGGGTCCAGCGGCACGCGGCGTCGGGACGGCCTCTCCTGGGAAGCCCGGCGCAGGCCACACCGGGGGTGCGCCTCTGGCGACACGTTTAGCCGCGACTTGATTCTTTACCAATGCGGGGGTCTGCTAAATTTACAGTCCAGAATGAGCCCCGTTAAAAGGAAGCTATTCTCACATTAAAAATGTGTATGTTTTCCATACTAATGGAGTCACTTAAAGCTGTTGCTAATTTAACTTTTTAAAAAGGCCACACTGGAAATTTGCATTTTCTTTAGGATATTGAAATGAAGAGAAAACTGCTGGGCGGCGAGGCTGCCCAGGGCATAGCTGGGGGCCATGCAGAAATAAAAACAGATAAAGAAAAGAAGAAAGAAAGAAACCCGCTTCCCTTCTAGACTATTAATAAGCAATTTGTCCCGCTGAAATTTACATTGCAAAGAGCAGTGCACAGGCTGCCACGGCGGCGGAGCGGGCTCGGGCGGCGCATCCCGCGCGGGGTGCGGGCGGCCTCTGGGCAGTCCGGGCCGCCCTCGGGAGTGATCGGTGCGCAGCTTTGAACTTGGTGTCCTTGCCGACGCATGGCCGACCCTCGCCCGCACCCAGGCGTATCTGCACCCCAGTGCCCCGCCTGGGCCGAGCGCCCGGAGAGCCGGCACTGGAGCTGCGCGGTCACCACCAGGGGGCCGCAGCCAGTTGGGGTCTCTCCCGGGGAGCCCCTAGGCTCCCACGGACATCCCAGACTCACTGACCCCCATCCGCCCCGCAACACTGCCCCGGCCTTAAATTAAAAATGCCAACAATACGCTTAATATTTTTCCCGCTGAGCCGTGCGGCCCTGGTCCAGGCCCACTGCCGGTGCGGAGCCTCGCGCTCGGCGCCCGCCCCGCGCCCCCGCCAGCTCCCCCGCCCGCGCGCGGCCCGGCGGAGCGCAGCTCCGGAGCCTAGCGTGGGACCAGGGCGCCATCTACGGGCGCCGCGCGGCTCCGGGCGCCGCCGCCTCCTCCCTCTCCCCTTCCGGAACCCGCTCCTCCTCCCGCAGCCGCCGCCCGCGCTCGCCCCGCGTCCGCACAGCGACGCTGCCACTTACCACAATTGCAAGGCCCTCCCCGTGCCATTTTGCTTATGAAACATTGCTAGATAGTCGAACTTTTAAGCGCTGTATTAAAACTTTCGAAATGAAGGCGCTCTCCTGCTTGCAATTTTGGGGCACACGGTTAAAAGACATGAAATGCAAAGATAATGCAATTTGTTAGTCCAACTCTGCGATTTGAGACTTGATGTCCCCAAAGACCCGGCGAGCTTTTCGCCTTTATTTTTATTAAAACATCAATCTACGCTGGAGCTGGGTGAACTCGGTTTCACCTGGAGAACATAGAATTCTCCGTACCAGAGAAATAAGCACCTTTCATAAATCAGCGGTACTCCTGACACATCGATCAATTTTTGGTTGTTAATCCGAAAGGAGGAGTTTTAATTGCTTCCTGCGTTCTCGTCCAGGCATCTCAGCGTTTCGAGCCCTCCCTCCTGCCCTCCAGGGATCTCACTTCGTATTGGGGGGAGGGGCGGGGATTGATAAGTCCTGGGTCGTTCCACTAAATCCCAGAACCCCCAATCTCTGCCCGCGCCCGTGCGCGCCTCCCCCGCGCCGAGGGCGCTCTGCACGCGCTCACCTCTCAGCAGCCCAGCCAGGAAGGCCTCGAGGAGAGGCCACCCGGAGCCCGCGAGGCCGCCCAGGCGTGCTCGCCAGCCGCCAAGACGCTGCCAGGGCCCGGCGCAAAAGTTCACTGCGAGGCCAGGCCCGAAGTGCCGCCCACGGTCCCGGGCTCCCGCATCCCCAAGCCCCGACCCGCGCTCCCGCAGGCGAGGAGAGCGCATCCCGGCTCGGGGACCCCTCAGTGCGCGCAGCCCGGGCCCCCCCCATTCCGCCCAGCGCCCGACCCGCGACGCGCGAAGTTCAACTTTGAGGGCCCGCGGCCTCCGGTGGGCCGCGGGCCGGGGCGGGGACCACCCCCCCCGACGGGATCGCGAGCAGCCACCACGCGCTTACCTGCGCCGCTCATTCGACGGGAGTCGCGGGGCGCCCTGGCCGCGAGGTAACAGCGGCGCAGGCTTTGGGCCGGGAGGGTGTGCTGCCCGGCGCCTGCCCACCTTCCCACCTCCCGCCCTCCCTGGAGAGCCCACGGGCCGGGCCGCGAGCGCACCAGTGCGCACGCGCCGCGCCGTCTTCCACCGCGGGAGGCGGCGGCGCGGTGGGCGCTGTGGGCGCGGTGGGTGGGCGGGCGGGCGAGAAGGTACCCGCGGGCGCCCGGCAGCCTGCCCGCCGCCGTGCCCCGGGGCCGCAGCTGCACCCCGCGCTGGCCGCGGGCGGGGGAGGACTTGCGGGGCATCCCCTGGCCGGACGCGGGGTTCTCCGTGGGGAGGCCCTTTTGCCAGGACCTGAGCCACGCTCCTTCCTCTGAGGGCCTGAGGGCGTTCGCAACCTGCTTTGGACAAGACAGCGCGCCAGGCCCCGGACGGGACGGCACGGCCGGTACACCTGTCCGGAAGGGGGTCCCAAGCCCGGGAGGCCTGAAGCCGTCGGTGTGGATGCGTGCACCCTCGCAACCTGAAGATGCCCCGCGCCTTTTTGGTAATGTTGGGGAGGGGGCCGCTTCCTTGGAGACTAGATGCTACTAAGCTAGTGAGAAACACTCTTCGCCCGGAGGTCTCAGTGAAATGGGGGAGGGAAGAGATCTCCCACAAACAGGAGCGGGACCAGGATTCTCCCCTGAGAATTTGTTTGCAGGTGGCTTTAGCCACCTGGCCCGCTCCAAGCGGAGCTCTGCGCTCGGGGCGTCGTCAGCTCACGCGCCTCCGCAGCTCTTGGAGAACGAGGCCAGGCAGCCCTGACCACGCTACCCCTGCCTTTGGTGTCACCTGGCAAATGACCAGATGTGGAACCTTTGCCATAAGCATCTGGAGCTGCTCTGTAGGAAAGAAAGGGCGTCAGGAGCTCTGGCATCCCGCACCGTCTGACTGACGCTGGGCCTGGCGGGAGCTGACCGGGCCTGCCCTCCCTACCCCCTTCTGCTCAGTTTTCTAATACCTCCCTTTGACGAAAGCCTGGGGCTATCTCCTACCGATTCTTATCTACATGCTTTCTTAAAACCTAAGTGCGATGCAGATACCTAAACAAATACAACTTTCGTATCACCAAGGTTTGTTTCAGAAAGCACCAGTGTGTTGTAATGTGACCCTCACCCTCCACCTTCTTGGTTTTTCTCCCCTGTTTCTGGCTCCTAGACTTGTTTTGTACTCTTTATTTCAGCCTTTTACAGTGAAAGTTGAATGTGCTGAATCATGAAATCTTACCGGAAGGAGAAAGTTATTTTTGGCCATTTATTTAGTAAAAGGCACTCTAGAGAATGCAACCCAGAAATGTACTTTATTATGATAGCTTAATGTAAGAAAAGAACTAAATAACGAATATTTCCCCCTTGTCATCTTCACTTGGGAATCATTTTTAATGTGAGCCAGCATGAAACTATTTAAGCAGTATGCAGTATTTTAGGACATAAAATTACCCATGTTTTTAAAAGCAGCTCACATGTATTGGATGTTATGTGCCAGCACCCCAAGATAGGCACATGCACAGAAAAGACGGAGGACATGTCCTGGTCACACTGCCAGGAGGCTGCGACTCCAGCCCCAGCGCTGGACTCCAGAGCTCTGGTCCTTACAAGGTGCAGCCACGTGTGCCTTCAGAGGCAAAGGGGGAAGCGCGGGGGGGGGGGGTCCAATGTCTTGAAATCACTTTGCATGCATGGAGCCTTGAAACTGCCTCTGCTCAGTTTGGTCAGGTCGGCTGTGGAATGATGGGGGTGGGGTGCTGACAGGGGGGCGCTGAAGGGAGGGGTTCCATCCTCTAGTGATGGCTTGGTGACCCTTTGCTGTCCAACCTTCCTTCTTGCTGTTTAACCCCAAGTTCCCACACCACGCCCTACAGTCTTGCCTGCTCCCGTCCCCCAAAGGCTGCTGTCGCCAGGGTTCCTTCTCCGAATGTGCCCGTGAGCCTCTGCCGCCCTGCAGGTGCCCACTGCTCTGTGGCACCTCTCTCCTCCTGAGCCACCGCTCGACTAAGGAGCCTGGGCTCACCCTTGGTAGGTCCTCAAGGGAGATATATATGTGTGTATACATATATATATATATGTACATATATACGAATATATATATACATGAATGAGGAATGGATGGAGAACATTTAGCCACGTAGGTAGTGATTCAGGGGTCAGGGGCCTGGGAGAGGAATGGTGTAGGTCTGGTGGGTGCGTGAGGGAAATGACATGATCTGATGGGGTGCTTGGAGCAAACCTGTCATTTTTATGGAGAGAAACTCAGAGAGCTCAGCCGTTGAGAGGAGGCCCCCCATGGCCTCATTTTTACACACCAGTATTGGCAGAGAGGTATCCTTGAGTAGAAGCCATTGACTTTCTCTGTGCCTCGCTTACTGGATACAGTGACTGCTGCCCCTCCACTGCCCTCCCTTCCCCCCACCCCCAAACATTCATGTAGGCCAGGCTCAGCTGTGTGTGAGGTGTGGTGAGGAAGCCCTGCCCGCATGCAGCGGGAGATGTAGTGTCACAGCCGGACACGCGAAAGAAACAGGAAACAGCTTGGTGATGTTTGCATTGGGAAAGCCTTCCATGGATCTCACAGGTTAAGCCCAGTTCTCTCAGCCACATAAAAATCAGCATCCATTTCATCTGTCACGGTCCACATCTGTGTGCTCTCATTGGCCACTGTACCTGGAAACATAAATTCACAAACATCAATATTCAAGCCTGTATCAATATTTACTTGAATCGTTTTACCCGTAACAAGCACTGTGCCTAGTGGCCACGACTAAGCAGCTAACATTGCGAGTGTGAGGATTGCAGGTGGGGACTTAGCTGCCCCCAAATAGCACAGGCTAGTCCAAGGTGCTGGAGGTGCAGGGGCCCCGTCACGGCAACTTGGCCGAGGTGAAACTCGGCCACTGAACCCAGAAGTCAGAACTTGATCGTGGGCATTTTCAGAGCACAAATAGTTTCAGGGATTGTTTGTTTTATTTGCAGGTCTCTCATTCTGGTGTGAAACGTGTCTCTACATGGATTTCTCCTACGAGAAGCTCCTGGAGTCAGGACCGTCCCCGTCTTCTGGTTTATTAGTTCTTAGCACAGAGCTGGCACAACGAGGGGGCTCAGCAAATACTTCCTGAATTAATACAGATGTGATTCTGTTTTAGAGACTCTGTATCATGGGAAGATTCAAACACACCCACACCTTGATAGAATGGAAGATGGAAACCACTCTCCAGCTCAGAACATTGCTGTTCGTCCATCTCTCTTCCCGTCCTGCAGGGGAAAAAAAATATGTTAGTTAAAACGGCACGTGACTTGGTCAAATATGCCATGATGCTTGAGGACACCTTTGCTCTTGCCTCCCACTGGAGTAACCTGGGCGAGAGTAACAAAGAAAACAACAACACACTGTCCACGTCGGACAGCCATTAAAAGGGCCCCTTGTGGGAGGTGGGGGGAGGGGAAGTGAGGACCCTCACGGTCGAGTCCCGCCTGGGAAGCAGTGAACAACCGCCCACAGGGCTATAAGCCAGGCCAGGGATGATGGGAACTGGCTTCCCAATGCCCTTCCTGCCTGGGATGTTGATTTCACATTGAGACCCACTCCTCCAAATTGTGGAGATGGACTTGGGGCTCTCGGGGCAGAAGACTTGCCCAAGGGACTTGTGAACGGAAGCAATCAGATGCCCCTTCCCAAGACATCTCTGCCCCTACCTGGCCCTCCACTGTCGGAGTCTAAAGGAACACGATGGATGCTTCTGTCTTAAAATCATTCCTGGGGAAATCCCAGGGTGGGAAGCCCTCTGACCAGGAGGCGAAGTTTTCAGTGAAAGGTGTGAGGACGGCAGAGGGTTCCCTCATCAGCTGTCCCGACCCCGCAAGCTCTGGGGCCACCAGAAATGCAGCCGTGGGGTGAGAGGTCGCACTCAGAGATGGAAAGTTGGAGCAAGGAAGTGGCAGCTGCCCTCCCAGGGACTGAGCAGGTCTGAATCACAGAATCCCGTCAAGCCCACAGTAAAGAGCACCCTTTTGCCTTGTGGTGGAACAAAGGAATCATGTACAAGTGCGAGGGCACCTGCCCGGTAGCTTGGGGCTGGCAGGGTGTCTCGGCTGGCCTTGGCCATGGGGCGTGGTAATTATAAATTACAAGGTATTGAGTAGAGTTCCCTGTGCTGTACAGTAGGTCCTTGTTGCTCATCTATTTTATATATAGTCATGTGTATCTGTTAATCTCAAACTCCTAATTTATCCCTCCCCCGCTTTCCCCTTTGGTAACCATAAGTTCACTTTCTATATCTGTGAGCCTGTTTCTGTTTTGTAAATAGCTTCATTTGTGTCATGTTTTAGATTCCACACATAAGTGATATCGTGATATTTGTCTTTATCTGTCTGACTTACTTCACTTGGTATGACAATCTCTAGGTGCATTCATGTTGCTGCAAATTTCACTCTTTCTTTATGGCTGAGTAATATTCCATAGTGTGTATATGTATGTATATACTACATCTTCTTTATCCATTCATCTGTTGATGGACACTTAGGCTGCTTCCATAACCTGGCTATTGTAAACAGTGCTGCAGTGAACATTGGGGTGCATGTGTCTTTTCAAATTAGAGTTTTCATTTTTTCCAGGAGTGGGATTGCTGGGTCATATGATAATTCTATTTTTAGTTTTTTAAGGAACCTCCATACTGTTCTGCATAGTGGCTGCACCAATTTACATTCCCACCGACGGTGTAAGAAGGTTCCCGTTTCTACACACCCTCCCCAGCATTTACTAGAGAAGACCTCTTACTAAAATCCAGGGTCTCCACTGTGCATATTCTAGGACGGGGCGACTGCCAAGGAGCAACACACAGGCAAGGAGACCCCTGCATGTGATCACAGCAGACATAAACCTGAGGATATTTTCTATGCACACACTAACCATTTTGCTTGTCTACTAAGAGTTATCTCCTCAACCTGAAACAATGTATTTTTGTACCGCAAATTCTACTAAAGAGAAAACAAGCCATTTTTAAAAATGTAAATCGTAACAGTTCTTTGCATTTAACTTTCAGAAGAGATTCCTAATGAATTCTTTCCAACCCTGCGTTCTAATCTCTGATCCAGTGCTGACAGGTGTGAGATAATACGGAAGTCCACTCCTCAGCCAGCTGGCCATGGCACAGCCCTGGTGCAGGGCTGGAATTCTAAAGACGTCCCCGAGATTTCTGTCCTCTGGTTGTTCAATCAAACCATAATCCAGGTACTGCTGGGAAGGAACTTGGCAGATGGAATTAAGGTTACCAGTCAGCCGACTTTAAAATTGGGAGATTATCCTGGACTCTCTGGACATGAGCCCTTAAGAGCAGATGAGGAAGGGAGAAGAGTCAGTGAGATGTAGCAGGAAAGGGAGCCAGAGGAGAGGCCAGAGAGAGTCAAAGCATGAGAGAAACTGGGCCTGCCATTGTCGGAGGGGCCACACAGAAAGCACAAGGAGGACACAGGCAGCCGCTATGAACAAAGACTGGACCCAGCTGTCAGCCAGCAAGGAAACAGGACTTCAGTCCTACAACCACAGGAACCGAATTTAGCCAAAGATCAGAATCATCTTGGATGAGGACCCCAAGCTCCCGATGAGAACACAGCCAGGCTGACAGCTTGATTTCAGCCTTGCAAGACCCCCAGCAGAGGACCCAACTGAGACCATCCAGGCAGCTGACCTTCAGAACTATAAGACGGTGAATGGTGCTGTTTTAAGCCACCAAACTGGTGGCAATTTGTTACCCCAACAACAGACAATGAAAACACCCACCTTTGAAGCCTGGAGGCAGATGCTCCTTGCTTACACTGTGTTTCAGTCAGTTGTTGCCATGGTAATGCTGCTAACAGACCTTCCCCAATGCAGAGGCTTGAACAACAGCCACGCCCCTCACACATGCCCCTGCAGGGCAGCTGGCACAGCTGTGCTGATCTCGGCCTGGTGGGTTGTGTCTGGCCAACGGTGGCTTCACTACACAAGGCGAGAGCTGTGGACTCTCCCAGCAACTCTGTGGACAGGCTGGCTTTTTCCCTGGGGGCCCCTGGCTCCAGGGTGGCCACAGGCTGGAGCAGACCTGTTCTGAGGGGTGGAGGCCAGGTGGGCATCTCCAGTGCCTCGGAAGAAGGCTAACCCAGCCTCTGAGCCATAGAGTGTGGAGAAAATGCACATCAGTCCCATTGGGAAGCTATAGGTGATGGGGAGGAGGGTCAGGAGAAAAGAGCACATGGCACTCACCTCCCATCTGTCCCTCCTGTTGTATGGAGACCAGCTCCAACAGGCCTGTGGGTCTACCTCCCACCCCCCAGCACCTAGAACAGTGCCGTCAGCCTTCAACCATATACTTTCAATTTACCAGCCCCTGCTTAACATAAAAACCGAAAGCAGAGCCCACACTGGTCTGGGTTGGATCACATACATGATCATCCATAAACCAAGTACGGTGGCCCCAGGAGGATGGGGCTCTTTGATAGGCAGGCATCCATCCCGAAACTGCCTATTGAGGAGTGGTCCCATATGAAAGAATGCAGGGTGACAAAATGCATCCAACACAGCGACCATAGAAGCCAGAATGAAAATGGCAAAAAATTATTTCTAAGTGTTGAAAGAAAAGAACTGTCCATACAGAATCCTATATTCAGAAAACAATGTCCTTCAGGAATAAAAGGGAGATCAAGCCATTCTCAGATGAAAGACAACTAAGAGACTTTCTTGCTTGTATACCTACCCCCCAAAAATGGCTGAAGGAAGTTCTTTAAACAATAAAGAAACAATAAGAGAAAGAGCTTTGGAACATACAAAGAAATAAACATAGAAACACAATAGTTAACTCAAAATGGAATTCTAAAAAAAGTGTTTAAGTCTCAGCAAGCGAAAGTCCAAATCCAGACAGCTTCACAGGTGAATTCTACAAAACATTTAAAAAAGAGTTAACACTGATCCTTCTTAAACGATCCCCAAAAAATTGAAGAGGAAGGAATGCTTCTGAACACATTCTACGAGGCCAGCATCACCCTGATACCAAAACCAGACAAAGACACCACAACAAAAGAAAATTACAGGCCAATATCACTGATGAACATAGACACAAAAATCCTCAACAAAATATTAGCAAACTGAACTCAAAAATACATTGAAAGGATCATACCCATGCTCAGGTAGGATTTGTCCTAGAGATGCAAAGATGGTTCAGTATATCCACAAAGCAGTCAACGTGACACACCACATTCACAAGCTGAAGAATAAAATCATCTGATCATCTCAATAGATGCATAAAAAGCTTTAGACACCACAATTCAACATCCACTTATCATAAAAACTCTCAACAAAGTGGACATAGAGGGAACATACCTCAACATAAAAAAGCCCACATATGACCAACCTACAGCCAACATCATACTCAACTGTGAAAATCTGAAAGCATTTCCTCTAAGATCAGGAACAATACAAGTATGCCCACTCTCAACACTTTTATTTGACATAGCGTTGGAATTCCTAGCCACGGTAATCAGGCAAGAAAAGAAATAAAAGAAGTACAAATTTGAAAAAAGAAGTAAAACTGTCACTGTTTGCAGATGACATGATACTATATATAGAAAATTCTAAAGACACTACCAAAAAAATTTAGAATTAATAAATGAATTCAGCAAAGTTGCAGGATACAAAATTAATACACAGAAATTTGTTGCATTTTTATACACTAATAATGAACTATCAGAAAGAGAAATTAAGAAAAAATCTCATTTACATTTTCATCAAAAAGAATAAAATATGTCAGAGTAAATCTAACCAAAGAGGTAAAGGACTCTGAAAACTATAAGACACTGATGAAAGAAATTGAAGATGACACAAATGGAAAGATATACCATGCTCATGGATTGAAAGAATATTGTTAAAATAACCACATTACCCAAGGCAATCTACAGATTCAAAGCAATCCCTATCAAAATACCAATGGCAATTTTCACAGAACTAGAACAAATAATTCTAAAATTTATATGAAAACACAAAAGACCCCAAATAGCCAAAGCAGTCTTGAGAAAGAACAACAAAGCTGGAGGTATCATAGTCCCTTCCTGATCTCAAACTATACTACAAAGCTACAGTAATCAAAACCGTATAACCAGCACAAAAACAAACACACAGATCAATGGTACAGAATAGACAGCCCAGAAATAAACCCACGCAATTATGGTCAATTAATCTACAACAAAGGAGGTAAAAATATACAGTGAAGAAAAGATAGTCTCTT